TAGCACGTGAGATTTTGAACTTTGAAGGAGATTTGGACCAATAAGACAAGAATCAATCCTACTTATTGAGGTATATTGTTTGTGACAATCCGATGTAATTCCAGTTCATTTATGTTAGCTCTAATCCTAGAACGTCTGTCTTCGTTTACACTATTTTTTCCTATTCAACTTTCTACCTTCAAATAGCATAAATGAAGACACACATTCTAGGATTAGAGCTAACATAAATGAATTGCAATTACATCAGATTGTAACAAACAACATACCTCAATTAATAGGGCTGATTCTTGCCTTCTTGCTCCAAATCTCTTTCAAAGTTCCAAATCCCACGCGCTAACTCCAAATTACTCTTTCGTTACTATCTCTGACTCTCTCTTATTTATAATCAGAGAACCCTTGTTATCCGCTTTTGACGCGAGCCCTAATTATCGCCTGATTAGGTTTACTTTTTCGTAATGGGCTTGTCATTGCGAAGCTTATTAATCTGCCCAAGTGAGCTTTTCATGATATTTTTTTAACTTTTTGTCAAATCAAACATTACATGAATCGAGACGAAAGAAAAATATTCTTTTTGACAGTTATAAGTTGTAAAAAATTCATACCAAACACTAGGTGAATAATAATTTTTTTAAAAAATTAAAAAATTCAAGGGTTTTTGCTTCATATCATCCTCGTTCCTTTGAAGCTAAAGAGATATTTCAATGTTATAAAATGCACAAAATATTTATCCACTTTAGTCTGTGAAGATTTTTGTTTTAGTACCATCTGAAAGTGATATTACTACACATTTTTTTCACTTTATATGTGAAAGAATTTTTTTATATACATTTGTAGAAAAAAATTGACGTGCTATATATTCTCTCTCATTTGTAGTTTCTCCTCCTTAACAAAACCTAAAACTCCAGCCACCCCCCTCTTTTTGTCACGTTTCTTTTTCTCATTCTATATTAGTGTATGTTTTTTCGATCAGTATTTAGAATAGGTTTATCAATATTTTTAGCCTCTTGGGAATATTCACAAATTTCCCAAAATATTAATTATTTTATCGTTTAATAGTTCATGTGTTATATACTTATGTTAAATTGTATTATTACTTCAATATTTGATGATAATACCTCTAGAAGTACTCCAAATATGACATATTTCCTATAAAAAGGAACATTTTGATTAATAAAAGATAAAATATACCGAGTTACAAGTGTCAAAATCAAAATCAAAATTTATTACTAACTCAAATACCAAACATGCAATATTAGCCTTTGTAATTAATTTTGAATTATGACATTCTGGTCACAATAGAGTTTCACACTATTGGTCACCCACCCCCGCTATTCTTCAGGTACGAACTATATAAACTCGTTTTTATGCAGTAACTCACCAATCACACAAGAGATACTAATTGTATTGGGCAAATTCGATGCAAAGAGCATGACTGAGAAGACGTTGTCAAGTGAAATCGTTTTATGGCCTACCACCCTCTATTAGGGCTGTTCAAAATCAAATCGAAATCGATAATCCGAACCGATAATTTGGTTAAATGGTTCAGGTTAATGGCTTAACAGTTCGAGTCTCAGTTTACCATAAACTTCTTATCGGCTTATCGGTTTGGGTCTCGGTTTGGCCATATTTCTAATTGGGTGCCCGATAATCCGATAAGAAGTTTAATTAGTTACATTTTATATCAGTTAAGGCCTTAGACACATTTTAGCCTTTAGGGTTTACATTTCAATCTTCAGACTCTTTACAGTAATTTTATAGTTGACACTAAAATTTCACAATAATATTCCAAAGCTGTGAATCCACTCATTGATTCACTGTCACTACTCCCACGCAAGCGAGTTATTTTGAATATCATTCTCTAAGTGTCTAAATTGAGGTTCAAATGGTTGGTTCCGTTACTTTAAGTCTTTATTTTTATCTTCTCATTACAATGAGCGATTCAGTAAGATATACCTGCAATGTTGCAATATTACCATCTGCAATGAAAAAGTTTTTATTAGTAATGGTCTCATGATCATTAGTAGTTTTTGTTAGCAGTGTTGTAATGGTTTCTCTTTATAGTTCATATCAAAATTGGCTTGGTTGTTATAGGAATTCTTTTGAGTTTGCCAGATTAGGCAATAATAGGCAATATTGACATCTCTGTCCAGGTTAATATGGAGTTTTATTAAGTGTTTATGTAGTAATGGACTAACGGGGAAAAGTTCATTAGTGACTACTGGCTACTGCGTACTGTTGATTAGTGATTAGTCCATTAGTAATTCTCAATGAAAATTGTGCGAACTGTTAACGATTAAACCGATAACCGAACCGATAACGATCACTAACCGATAAATCGATATCTTAACGGTTCCATAATGGTTGAGCATGATTACAAACCGATAACCGATAAGTAAAACCGTAAATTCCAAAACCAAACCGAACCGAACCAACCGATATGCAGCTCTACCCGCTATATTAATTCAGTCACCTTTGTAACCGGTTCTAAGAAAATTTAAACACCCTTTGTCACTAAGTTGAGCAGAACATTTAGTTTTCAAAATTATTTCGTTATTAATTTACTTTTTCTAGGTTATAAACAAATCCGAAACCTTTCAGATCAGTGATCTATAATCATCTATCTCATTCTTTTTTTTTTCCTAAAACCTAATATGATGAAATATTTTTCTTAATTGATCGTCAATTTTTTACTCGAAGTAATTATAAAAATTTACACAAATAAGAGCGACGACATTCAATGTAATAAAACTATAACTATAGGATATGAATTAAAACTAAAGAGCGTAGCTACGATCGTTCCCACAATTTTGAAAAAAATTATCTAATTAAATTAAAGTATACCCTTGCTAAAGAAAGACAATTTTATTTTTGACAATTCATGTGACCCAGTTGGAAGAGTTAACATTCACACTTTACATCGTTCTGAATAGTTGGAACTTGGAATATTCTAATGTATCACAAAATGCACGCACTTTACATAAGTTTTTTCTGTCACGCTAAAAGGCTTGTCTAAGTCACGTTTTGCTTATGCTGTTACTCTATCTCCTTCTATATATAGTTGTGTCTATGCATTCAAACTCATCACTCTCTATTACTCTGTTTATACCGTTTCAAAGCTATCCATTCTTGATTTTCCGGCAGAAAAAGCGCCTTTCCCTATTACTCTGTTTTTTACGGTTTGGAAGAATTCAAAGCTATCCATTCTTGATTTTCCAGCAGAAAAGGGGTTTTTTTTTATTAAGGTTAGTATTTGTAAATGCAGTTCAGTCTTGTTGTTATTGTGAAGAATTTGTTTTAGATAGATATATGCTTGTGAATTTTGATTGGTAATGAAATTGTGTATTTTGACTCAGGTGAGGAAGATGGATTCAGGGGATGACTCTGTTTCAAAGAGGAGGACTAGACAACAATCTTTAAAATGTATGGTCGAGATAATTGAAAAGAGGAATGAGTTGAGTCAAAGTGGGAATTCTACGAATGGAAGGAAAAGAAAAAAGATGGAGACTTCTGGAGGTGACGAGAGAAATGTGGAAAACAATGGAAGGAGGAAGTTCAGTCGAGGAACTTCTGAGTACTTCACAAATCAGACATTCGTCGAGGAAGTATCAGATGATGATGATTCGTCATCGGAGGAGACTGATCCTGATGTTGATATTGTTGAGGAGGAGGAGGATAGTGATCCTGATGTTGTAATCGTTGCGGAGGAGGAGGTGGAGACTGAACCTGATGTTGTAATCGTTGCGGAGGAGGAGGTGAAGACTGAACCTGATGTTGTTAATGTTGCGGAGGAGGAGGAGGAGGAGACCGATCCTGATGTTGTTATTGTTGTTGAGGAGGAGGAGGAGGAGGAGGAGGATGAGGAGGATGAGGAGGAGGAGAGTGATCCTGAGGTTGTTAACGTTGCGGACATGTGCAAGACAGGGGACAAATCCAAAGAGTTTACTGATACAACCTCATATTCTAAGTCGGAATTCGAATCTTCAACTGATGCTCTTCGAAAGAATCCGAAGAAGATTCTTGAAGAGTCTGAGTTTCTGAAGTTTATTGTTGATTCAATAAAAAATGTCCATGATCGTAATGAAGTCATTCCTCCAGAAGAGAAGGAACCTGTTTCTGTCAAAGAAACACTTCCTTTAGTATTTCGATTTGAAGACGAGGAACCTCTTCCCCCAGAGAAAGAAGAATGGGAAAAGGAAATTGAAGATCTTTTTTCTGAAATGAACATGTGTATCTTAGAATCACATATTGGATTTACGAATCCATCAGTTTCGCCGATGCAGAGTGGACAACTAAGTGAGTGTCAGATGGGGAACCACAAGCTTAAGCTAGATGAACAAATTGGACTCTTCTGTTCAGTTTGTTCGTATGTCCATTTGGAGATGAAATACATCTTCCCTGATTTTGTAAGTATACGAGTTTTGTTCTGTCAAGCACTTTCCTTTTCAAATATTTTTGTAAATACATCCTCCCTCCAATTTATTTATGATTCACTCTTAAATTCTTGAACTTATATGTCATCTGCAGGCTCAGAGAACTCAAGGGAGGTACGAAAGAAAATACTTTGGAGAATCCCCATCAGTCTTCGATGTTGATGGCTTTAGAGTTCCTGATTCTTCAGCAGCTGAGGATTCTCCCATTTTTGGAGAAGGAACCGTGTGGGATTTAGTTCCCCAAAGTGCCAAAGCTACAATGTATCCTCATCAACGTGGAGGATTCGAGTTCATGTGGAACAACATAGGTGGAGATATAAAGATTGAGAGGCTGAGAGAGCCCCTATCGGAGAGTAAGGGAGGGTGCATTATCTCACACCCACCTGGCACCGGAAAAACCCGACTCACCATAGTATTTCTTCAGTCATATCTGAAGCTGTTCCCACAGTGTCGGCCTGTAGTCATAGCTCCATCAAATTTGCTTCTTAACTGGGAAGCGGAGTTCCAGAAATGGGCGGTGGACATTCCCTTCCACAACTTGAACAGCAAAAACTTCTCTTTCAAGGAAGATGAAGGTACTGTTGGTGTCTTTCACTGTTTATCCAGTGCTGCGAAAAAAAATCCACACCTTATACGGATGGTGAAGCTGAAATCCTGGGCAAAAAGTACGAGTGTTTTGGGAATCAGCTATGATTTGTTCAGGATTCTCACAGGAGAAGATGGAGAGGGTTATGCCAAAGAGCTTAGAGAAATACTCCTAAAGTTTCCTGATCTGCTGGTCCTTGAAGAGGGGCACACTGCTCGGAATGAGCACAGCCTTGTGTGGAAAGCACTGAAGAAGGTTGAAACAGAGAAGCGCATACTTCTTTCTGGAACTCCGTTCCAGAATAACATCAAAGAGCTGTACAACACTCTCTCTGTAGTTAGTCCAAAGTTTGCTTCTGATTTGGAGCAGAAATGGGCTTCTCTTAGCAATTCAATTGACAAGAATGCCCGAGCATTGGAAGAGCTTAGGGATATTATTTCACCCCTTGTCCATAAATGTAGCGAAAATGTAAAGAAGGTAAGCCTTCCAGGTATACGGGATACAGTAATACATTTGAAACCCACAGACTTGCAGAAGGAGTTGCTTAAAAGAGTTCCAGAGAATCCGGGATCCTTTTATGAACAAAATCTGATGTCTCTGATCTCTGTTCATCCTTCATTAGTGGCAAATAGGAAGGAGTTCTCTGAGTTAGAAAGTCAGCTCAAGGAAAGAAGATGTCGGTTGGATCCTGATATTGGGGTAAAAATGAAATTTGTTATTGAACTGATCAGACTATGTGGTGGGTGGAAGGAGAGGGTTATAATATTTAGCCAGTTACTTGATCCTCTAAACCTGATCAAGGAGCAGCTCAATTCTCTCTTTAGCTGGACTTTAGGCCGAGAGATTCTCTATATGGATGGGAAACTTGATGTAAAGCAGCGGCAGATATCAATAAATTCTCTTAATGACCCTAAGAGTGATGTCAAAGTGCTTCTTGCATCGACAAAAGCCTGCTCAGAAGGGATAAGTCTAATAGGGGCCTCAAGAGTGGTTTTGCTTGACGTTCTCTGGAATCCCTCGGTAGAACAGCAAGCCATCAGTCGAGCCTACAGGAATGGTCAGACAAAATTTGTTCATGTCTACTGTCCAGTGACATCGAAATGGGAGGTTGACAAGATCGAACAACAAACAAGAAAGAAATATCATTCAGATGTACTTCTGTCCAGGAATGAAGAGAACACTTCATGTTCTGTGTCAGAGGATAACATACTTGAATCCATGGTTAAGCATGAGGGTCTCCGTCATATTTTTGAAAAGCTATCTCATGCACCTCGTGTGGTGCCTACTACATGCTTTAATTCTGGTTGCCAACCTTCAAAAGGGAGTAGTTAGGTACATGAGGCAGTCAGTCTTGTTTAGTGTATTTTGTTAACTTGCTAGTCTTTGTAAAATGGCTCAAATGTTTTATCTCTTTCTTGCAAGGCTAGAATGTTGTTACTGTGAGACATTTTTATCTTGTAATCTGATTCTTAGTGGAGAATGCAAAATTTATTTATTGTGCTTTATCTTAGTTTTGAAAAACTAACTCTTAGTTTAGTCCTAACTTTCACTTACACTGGTGCTTATCGTATAACTAGTTTCTGGTCACGTGCCACGCACGCGTATTCTAATTTGATTGATAATATTTTTTTATAACAATCTACATAATCAAAACATGTCTCTAATAAGTGTTATGTCCGGTGTAAATTAGTATATATATAGATAGGGATAATATTAAAATATGTGTATGATGATAAATAGAAAATTTAATGTGAAAAAGACTTAGAAGCTCTTACAAGCTCAATTTAAAGAATAGTAAAAAAATTGAGTTGATTATTCAATGTCATCTAAACTTGAAAAGTGTACCCATATAATATAGTTAGCTATGCACGGTATAAAATGAGTTCATTAGTAATATTATTAGGTGTAAATATGTGATATAATTAAATTGTACTTAATACTTTCTTATAGATGTTATTTTTAATTGTATATATATATATTCTATTTTGATGATTCAATGATCTAAAGTTTTATTGTAGATATTGATATCTCTCTAGTTCTTGGTGTTTTTTTGTATCAACTTATTATGTTATTGATTTGCGACACGATTTTATACATTAATATCATTTTTTACTTTAAGCATTTCCAAAAATGAACTAAAGAAAGAAGAATTTATCGCTAAGTTATTAATAT